TAAAACAGGGCAGGAACTAGTGAGTAATATAGTAAAATACTACAGTACTGTATACAGGAAAGGACTAAGCCAGTCCTGCTTGTAGTGTGGTCTCAGACCAGCAAGATCAGCCACACCTAGAAGTTTGTCAGAAATGTGAATTCTTAGGCCCTACCTCAAACCTGCAGCATTTGAATCTCTGGAATGGAACCCAGAAGTTGATCTATATTCTAAGAATCTGCCCTGGGAGATTCTAACAAGTGCTGAAGTTTAAGGATGGAGCTGGAGAGATGGCTCCGTGATTAAGGGCACTCGTTGGTTCTTAAAGGGGAACCAGCTCACCAACTGCTCATCAGGCAGCTCACCAACTGCCTGTAACTCCAGTTCCAGGGGATCTGATGCCCTCTTCTGGCCTCTGCCAGCACCCACACACAGGACACACACAAACATACACATAAATAAAAATTGCAAAATCTTTAATGAAGAGCTTGAGAAGCACTGGGTAAGCTACCTTTCTCAGTGGTAACTGAATAAAATCCCATTTTCCACTCAACTGTTAACAATTCGAGAAATATAATATATAATAGGGAATATGGGAAAATAATAGAATGTGGTGATGAAAGAGTAAAGAGCTCATACACCAAATGGCCAAAACAGAAGAGAAAAAAAACAGAAAATGCGAAGCACGGAAACGAAAAATGATTTTAAAGAAAAATAAGTGCAGTTTGTGTGTCCCTTAGCTGAAGTGCTTAGGACCAAAAATATTTCTGATTTTGGAATTTTTAGATTGTGGATATTTGCATATCATAAGATGAGACCCAAGTCTAAATATAAAATTTGTTTATATTCCACCATATATCCTGTCCATACAGCCTAGAAGTAAGTTTATGCAATATTTGTAATGACTTTATATGTGACACAAAGATTGGGGCATAAAATTTCCCATGTGTGGCATCTTGTTAGTGCTCAAAAAGTTTCAGACCTTGGAGCATTTCAGATTTGGGGATCAGAAATGCTCAGCATGTAAAACCAAATCAATGATAGCAATAAAAGCAAGTGGTATAATCTCCAGGGTTAGAAGACAGAAACGGTCAGGTTCGTTGTCAATAATCCAAATTACTAATGGTTTATTAGAGATGCACCTAGTTAATCCTTATCTTTTCCTTAGCCTTGGCTTGTCTTTCTCAGGGAACTCTTTTCTTAAAGAGATTAAAGTCCCTGTCATGGCTTTTTGCAGTGCTGTTTCCTTGAGCACGCCTACCACGGGTGAAATTTGTGCAATGGTTTGATCTTTCTGTCTCCTCTTCCACATAGCTAGCTTCTGAGGACGGGAACATGGCAGTTTATGTTGAGCTTTAACACAGTCCCTGTTAATGAATGAAAGTACAGGAACTTGTCAGAACGTGCCATTAGATACATACAAACAAATAGAAAGCAGAACCTGACAAATCACTAAGAACTTAATGTTAATGCCAAACTAATAAAATGGTTTAATTAAATGTTAGAGCACTGCTTCTTAAACTTTCCCATGCATTAGGATGTTCTTATTAAAACACAAATTTCTGGGCCCACCTGTAGATTTTTTCCAGCAGATACTGGGCAAGTCCAGAGATGGTACATGTCTGTCAGGATCCTGTGGTTCTGATGATACTAGTCTGTCCAAGAACCACACTTAGAAGCTCCATGTTAGGAAAGAGTTCGCTGTGGGTAAACGGTACTGTTCACAGTGCAGATTTTGGGAGTGGGGTGTGGGGGGACAGAGTCTCATGTCATTTAGCACAGATAGACATAGAAACTCAATATGTAGATAAGGATGACTTTGAACTGATTTTCTTGCCTCTGCCTTCCTAGCTCTGGGTGGCATGTACTACATGTGCAGTTTATGCAGAATTGGAGAAGGAACACGGGGCTTTGCACATGCTAGGCAGGTGCTCTACTGACCTGGCTCCATCCCCAGCCCTGTAGTGGAGATTTGGATCCAGGGGCATTCATACACCAAGCAATATTGTACCTAAATAAAAAAGTAGATTCAGAAAGGCAGTGGAACGGAAAGGTTTATCACAGTGTTTAGTCTTTGTCAGAACAAACAGACAAAGTTATATAGGATTGAGTAATATAATTAATGCAGTTGATCTCACAACTTCAACAGGAAATAATATGTATACCTTTTCAGTATTCATGAGTCAGCTACAAAAATCATTTACCAAAAATTCTTAAATTTCCATATTGGGAGAAAAAAGCAAAAGAGAAACTAAAACACAGTGCTTGTGGTACACTTGACAAAATGTCGATGTTCTTAATCTACAAAGAATTCAGTGATTTTTTTTAAAGGAAAGTCACAAAAGAAAACCTATAGTTAATTAACAAGAAAAATAATCAATTTCCGTAGAAATCAAAGAAATGAAAAATAAACCCACCGTGGAATCTAGCCCTGCCTCTTCTGTCAGTTATGCAAAATAGAGATGATGAGGCTTTCCTGGGCTGCCAGTGTGGAAAGGACTGTTTCCACACCTCTCTGGGTGGGGAGATGGCGCTGTGGTTATCACAGGCATACAAAATGCTGCCCCTTCCTCACCTCTTTATCCTGAGGACATAGTGTGCCAAGCTCCTAAGCAGTAATCTTTATTTTGCAGTCATGTGCCAAACTAATGAGCCAATGTGCAAAAACCTCTGCAAGGATGTAGATCACAGCATTTTTTTTTTTAATAAGGGGAAAATTTTTTGAAACAATCTGAATGTCCCTTGGTGGAAGGCGACTGGCTCAGCAAATTCCCAGGTCCCGAGGGAGCCATGCAGTCAATAAAGGCAGTCCTGGAAATCAATACTTATTGATTGGGCAAGATGTCCACAAAGTATTGTCGATTGAATACAGCAGGTTACAAAGAGGATATCGATCAGGCCTGGCTAATTCAAGGCCACAGGAGCCAGACAAATGGCAGCAACAGAGAAGGGGCTCAGAGGACAGTGAAGGGAACGTGGGGGCAGGCCTGGCCAGTTGGCCATGCCCTCTAAGACACCCGTCTTGGTGTGGGGATAGTTAGAGGATGGCACTTTCTTTTTAAAATTTTGTGCTTGTGTTTATCAGTATTTTATAACTGCCCCCTAGTGACCCATTTTACATGAAACATTTTTTAAGAAGGAAGAATTTAGACAGAACCTAAGAGAGATATAAATATATAAAGTCCAGCGAGGGACTGGCAAGATGGTTCAGGAGATAAAATCCTTGCCTAACCAACTGAATTTAATCCCTGGAACACATAAAGGTGGAAAGAGAGAGCCTACTTCATGGAGTTGTTCTCCGACCTCCATACACCCATGCTCTGTGGCACCCATGTGCCCCCACACACAAATCATACACACAATAAGAAATAAATAAAGCTTAGGGAAAACTAAGGAAGAAGTGTGACCCCTGATCTAGTGGATGGGGCTACTTGGGGACAAGGAAAATTCTGGAGACATGGGATCGTGGGTGTGGCCCCTGCAGTGAGCAGGACTTACAAAAGGGCTGATGAAGTGGTTGACTTCGGAGGTCAGCTGGGGACTCCTGAGTGCCAGGACTGGGCTGGAGCGGTGGAAACCAGTGTGTGCCAAGCACTATTCTTTTTTTAAGTAATATTTTTTATTCTTTGAAAATGTCACAGATTTATACAATGTATCATCCTGATCATATCATCCACTACTCCCTCCCTCTGGCTCCCCCTAGTGTCCCCCGTGGCAGCTCCCTCCCAGCTTCATGTCCTCTTTATTCTGTGGTTGTTGCTGTTAATAACGCCCCTGAGTCCAGTTAGCGTTGTCCATATGCACATGGGTGTGGGGTCATCAACAGGGGCATGAGCAACTTACCAACAATCACATCACCAAAGGAGAGTGAGTCTCCCTTCCTCAACAGACAACAATTGCCAGTAACTCCTATAGGGGTGAGGCCTTGGGGGCCCCCATCCATGCTGGAATTTTGCCTGGCTTGTTCTTGTGCTGCTCTTGGGCAGGTGTCCACAGCTGCTTGTGAGCACAACATCCATGCATATCCAGAAGTCAGCATCTTACAGCTCTCCTCCCCATCTGCCAGCTCATACATTCTTTCCAACCCCCTCTTCCATGAAGTTCCCCGAGCCTTGGATGGCAGGAGATTGTTAAAGATAACCCATCCACAGCTGAGCTGTATTTTATACTTGGTGCTTTGATCAGTTATGAGTCTCTGCACTAACCACCACCCACTGCAAAAAGGAGCATTTCTGACCAAAGTTGAGAGCAGCATCTATCTATGGGTGTGAACAAATATTAAGAATGCAGTTTGACAGCATGACCATTTAGCAAAACAGCAACAGAGGTTCCCCTTGGGCCTAGCATCTCCCGAGTTATGTGGAGAGATCATCAGTTAAGTTCCCCAGGTTTGCAGGTACTGTTCAAAGCATTTGACATGCAGATTTAGTCCTCACAGCAAATTACAAGATGGTCATATTACCTCCCTTTACAGATAGGAAAATGGGGCACAGAGGTGTTAGGAGAACTGACAGAGGCTGAACGCTAGAGAAATGGCTTAATCGGTAAAGTGCTTGCCATGCAAGCATGATGACCCAAGTTCAAATCCCCAGGACCCATGTAAAAATCCAAGCACAGCACTGCATGCCTATAATTCCAGATCTAGGATCCCAACAGCTTGCTGGCAGTGAGCTCCAGGTTCAGTGAGAGACCCTATCTCAAAAAATAAGGCAGAAAGCAATTGAGAAAGACTCTCAAATTTGACCTCTGGCCTCCATACACACAGCACACATACACACACGTGCATGTACAACACTCTCCCCCCACAGCCCCGCCCCCCACTGCCACAGACCTGTCAGAGGTTACACAGCAGAACAAAGCCAAGCTAAGATTTAAACCAGGCATTCCAACTCCACAGACAGAGTTGATTCTGGATGGTGGTCCTAAAAGGAGGAAGAGTTTGTTCGGGGGCAGGGGGCGCTGGGGTGCTGATGCTTCAGTGGGACAAGGGCCTCTTCTCACATCTCCTTCTCCTTGGACAGAAACGGGCAATTACACCTGTGAATTCTGCGGGAAGCAGTACAAGTACTACACACCCTACCAGGAGCACGTGGCCTTACACGCCCCCATCAGTGAGTTCCTTCTCTGGATGGGGAATGGGGAGGCCTCAGGAGATGCAGGGGCCAGTGACTACCCAGGGCTCTAGAGCCTTCCTAGGGAAAATACCAGAAAGGTGAGGGTGGGGCTGTTGGGTGTCTGGGTCTAGCCTAGGCCGTGGGACTGTACAGCTAGAATAGTCTAGAAGACCCACTCAGAAACCAGCAGGGTCAGAGCCCTCCCATAGCAGTGGCTCAGAGGTCTGGGCCCCCATAGATTGGGCATCAGGAGGGCCCTGTCCCCACTTCCTTCAAACACCTCCACATTATGAACTTTCTGAATCTGTACCCACCCTAGAGCCAGCATCCCAGGATGTAGCTTCCATCTGAGCTGACCACGGCCTAACCCGGCCATTGGGCAGGTAACTGGACAAGTCAGCCCCTCTGCTGCAGTGGTGGAAAGCTAAGGAGGCACAAAGAGTGCAAAACTAAGGGGCAGGAGCCCTGAGAATCATGTCCAAGGGTCACGGGCTTGTTGGTAACCCTGACTGCTTCCCCCTCCTACCGTGGCAAGGACAGGAAGGAACTCCAAGGGCCCTCCCCAGGGGACATCTGACCCTGCACTCTGAATGCATGTAGGTCTACCTGACCTACTGGCTTCCTGAGTCTGTTTCTACAGATTGGCAGGGAATGGATCCCCAAGTGTGTAGGAGCCCAATGGCCTCAGTCCTCCACCCCTTTCTATACAGGTAGAAGCCTAAGTTGTGATGGGGTAGGGTTTAAATGGCCTGTGGGGCAATGGGGAGGGGTGTTTAGGAGCCTCTGCTAGTTTCACTGTTTGAATATCTCACTGCAGAACTATGAGGATCCTCGCCTCATTCTGAGGATGGGAACAGTTGGGGCAGAGGCAGAGGATGACTTACGAGAGGGCACAGTTTCTAAGCTACTCAGATCTGGGGAGGCCCTTGACCTTCCATTGCAGCTTAGGCAGCCTGGCTCCCCTGAAGGTATCTGAGTGTGTGGGAGGGAGAAGTATCCAGAGCTTGAAGGATGGTGTTGACAGCTTCCCAAGGAACCTGCTTGGCAGAGTGGCAAGAGTGAGGGTAGCACAGTCAGCCCTAAGGCCTAGTAGTGGGCCTTGGTTCTTATTATAGCTTGATGTCAACTGCTGTTGTGACCCTTTGCCTGGTGATCCCCCTTCTCTGGGCCCAAATTCTCATCCGTAAGAGTTCTTGAGGTCTTCCTAGCCTGGTGTCTAAACTCCTGACATCTGCAGCAGAAGAGGACCTTCAGGGAGACTCCTGCTATGATTCCAGTGCCCACTCTGTAGCAAGACCATGCGTGGGAAAAGAGAGCCAGAGGTTCTACTGGTTGGGTACCATCCTGACCACTTGGTGTCCACTCCTGGTGCTCCTCCAAGGCATCAGAGATGTTGGCAGTTGCTGCCTGATACCAGAGAAGATACTACCCAGAATGTATTTAGAGAAAGGCATTGCTTGCAAGACCAACAGCAGGGCATGTTGATAAGCTCATGGTGTTAGTAAGATGGGGAGCTGACCTTGGGCCTTGCCAGAAGGCTACAGACCCACCTCCACCCTGAAGCTGTCTGGCCTCCCTTGGCATATAACACCCCAGGAAGGGGAGTATCCCTTGTTCCCTAATTTCTTTTCTTAACATCTTGGAGCTTCCCTTAGAAAGGGCTGCCTACTTTTGTTTGTTTTTCTGCATCTGTTTGTTGAAGAAGTTTCTCTGGTGCTTACTGGAGTCTTCAGAGGATTTTAGAAGCACATGTCACAATGTAGAATAAGTGACTTAGGCTAGATTCAGTAAAGGATGGCTTCTGCAAGGCCAGACAGCAGAGAGCCCCCTGGTGGCCTCAAGATTGGATGAGTGTAGGGATGGCTTTTGGGGAGCCTGGGGCTGTTGAGTCATCATCAGGTGGCATCCAGGGCCAGGCCTGTGTCCCCAGGTCTGGTGAGAGTCCAGAAGAGCGTAGGCTGACTACAGAAATTCTTACAAGTGGAGTCTTGTATACATACGTGTGTCTGCTTTTGATTTCAATCACAAAATAATTTTAAGACTTGAGCATGCTGTATGTATCCGTTCCTCTTTCTTACCACTGACCAACACTCCACTGCATGAAAATCCCATCACTGACCTGTTCACCTGGGCTGTTTCCAGCTCTATTGTGAAAGTAGCTACTGTGAAGCACTTGTGTGAAATGTGTTCATTCCTCAGGGATAAATGCCAAGAGGCAGAACATCTAGGTGACGGGTTTGTTTCACTTTGTAAGGGCTTATAGACCATTCTCCAAAATACCAGCAGTATCTTGACCTCCTCAGGGCATGTTTTGGTTGCTGTGCCAGCTCCATGTTCTAGGATGTCAAGTACATCAGGCTGTCTGCTTCTTGCTGTTCTGGGGTGTGGAGCTTGGCGTCTGCTTGTGGATTTGACTTGTATGATCTTTCTGACTAGTGATGTTCAACATCCTTACTGTCCTCCCTGTTTTATTTTGGAAAATATTTAGGCTGTTTTCCCATTTTTGTTGTGGGGTTGTTTGTCTTTCTATTAGTTGTTACGGTTTGTTTTGTTTTGTTTTGTTTTGTTTTCGTTCCTGTTGGTTCATACTCTTCCTGAGGTATATGCTTGGTGGGTTTTTGCTCTCAGCCCCAACTGGGCCTGGTGCTTTTTATGAAGTGCCAATGAGTGAGCTGGCGATTTTCACTGATGAAGCATAATTTATTTTTTTTCTGTAGTTAGTGCTTTTTGGGTCCTTGCTTGGGGATATCCTCTCCTACCTCATAATGGTGAGCCTGTCTTCCTTGTGTTTTAGAAGATTTTAGACCATATTAACTTACACATTTAGGTCTTCAATGAATTTGAGTTCGCTGTGACTGAGGTGAGATATGAGCTGAGCTTTGTTTTATTCTGGGTACACACCTGGTTGTTCCTACCCCATTTGCTGAGATGATCTTTCCTATTCAGTGCCTTGATACCTTTATTGACTTCAGTTGGATGTGTGAAGAATACCCTCTTTTCCACTGATCCGTTTTTCTATCTTCATACCATTTCCACATGATCTTATTTATGGTAACTTTTTAGGAAGTCTTAAAGTAGCTCTCCTTAAATTCTTTACTCTCTATTCTTCTGCTTTGCAGAATATATGGCTCATCTGGGAACTATATTTTTCCATGTTAGAGGCTTGCCAATTTCTACCCAAAAAAGAAAAGAAAAAAAAGTTATGATTTTGGGGGGATGACAGTCTGTGGACCAATTTGGGGAATGCTGGGTTTACAGTGCTTTGGAGTCTTCCAACTCATGGCCATGTCTAGGTCTCTAGGAATCTCAAGCTTCTTTAGTTTTTCTCAATGAGTGTGCACTTTTCAAAAGCTTAACACTTTTGTCACTAAGGTATCCATACTATATGATATAATTATAGTCCTTAAAGTTGCTACTATTACATACGAACAGTAGCATTTTGCATCCTGGATTTGGATCATGTAAATTTGCTGACTGCTTATTCTTGTAGGATTTCTTTTTGTGGATTTTTGGGGGTAGCCCTTGTATATGATGTGGTCATCTTCTAATAAAGACAACTCACTTCTTTCCTATGTGCATTTTTTTTTGTTATTTGCGGGGGGGGGGTCATCACAGCCCTGAATAGAAGACACGAGCAGGTACCTCTGCTTGTTCCCCATCACAAGGCTCAGTCTCTCACTGTTATGCAGCATCATTTTCATCATTACCCATTGTGTTAGCTGCAGCAGGTTTTCCTAGATGCCCTCATCAGCTCAGGCCGCCTTCTACTCAGAGTTGACTCAAAGTTATCACTGTAATTAGTGTTACGTGGCTTTTTCCTTGCCTCTGTTGAGATGATTGTGTGGACTCTCACCTTTTTTTCTAGTGTGGTAAATGGCATAAATTTTTTAATGAGTCATCATGCCTATACTTTATTAAAATACATTAAGAATATTAGAAAGTCAAACTGTGAAATGAACTGAAGAAAGTTACAACATTGAGATGTCTTTTCTTTGCCAAAAGAATAGTCCCGTCTTTAAATGTCCTTTTTAAAAATGGTATCTACTTAAAGTACACAACTTGGTGATAATGTACATACATATATACAGGCATATATGAAGCTATCACCCCAGTAAAGTTTTGCAGGATCATCTAAACTACTTGAAGACCAGGGTACTTTGAATAATTTCTTTGCTTTCAAGGGCATGTTTTCTGTTCACTTATGTATAAAATTTCCCAGGATTTTCCCTGACTTTTAGTATTACTCTCCAAACCTCTCCCAAGAGCAGGGAACTGCAATCCTAGATTAGCAAAGTGCCCATGGTCAAGCAGAGGGGTTATTAATAATGGTCCTTAATTAAGCAAGTAAATATCTCTAATGATGTTAAAAGCACGACATGGGTACACTCGCATATATGCAGGCAATACACTCATACACATAAAATAAAAATAATAAAATATTAAAAAATAAAAACACTATTAGTAAAGTATGTTATTATACAATAAAGTGCCCATCATTTAAATTGTAAAACTTGGTAAATTTTGGTGCATGGCTGCGCCAAAAATCAGATAACAAACACAAACCCACAGTGACCCTGTGCCCTTTTGAAGTCCTTTGCTTGCCATGTTCCTGTGTCCTAGCAGTCACCAATGTGCTTTATACTGTTTTTACTGTTGATGAATTTGCATTTCAACATACACAGACTTTTACAGTATGCAACTTATTAAGGGATAGTCTGGATTTTGCTTACTATAATTGTTTTGACATTTGTCTCTGTTTATATGCATCAGTAGTTCATTCCTTTTCATTAATAAATGCAGGCATCCATCATTTAAAGACAGATACACATTCTGAGAAATATATCATTAGGTTATTTTGGGCAAGCATTCGAGAGTATAACTTACACAAACAAGACTTCTATACTAAGCTGTCTAATCTTATGGGATCATCACTGTATACGTGGTCTATCATTGACCAAAGTATTACATTAAAAAATGGTTTGGATAGATATTGTCCA